GTCTCCAGCTCGCTGATTTGTCGGCAATTATGATTTTGCACTACTCGTACGCACTGGCATCTCATACGGGCAACGCGTCACATGACAGAATGCAAGAAAACAGATGTCATCTCCCAAACACAAACGGGTGTCAGGGAGGGTTGACACACGCGGAATGTTAACACGCGAGAATGCATCAGCGACTTCTGTCCCCGCAGCTATCCAGTCGCTGACTTATCGCCGCGACATCCTCTCCCTCGTGTTGCCGGTGCTCGCGGACAGATACAAATAACGCGTGGGATAATGGAGCTTCCACAGGGGGAGCCTTGTCCTCTTAAAGGATCTGTGCTTCATCGCTCCTTTGTTTCTTATTGGAGCTCTTTGGTGGTCCGTTCAGACCACAACTGTGATTAATAACTACATTAAGCGCAGATAAAACCGAAGAGGTATAAAAAAAAGGGAAAGGAGGGAGATAAAGGAGGAGGATAGAAAAGAGCGAAAAGCACAGTAAATGTTTAATCACCTCCGCATATTACATACACAGTGCACAACAAATTGATGAATAACTTGTTTTAAAATCTGAAGTCAAGAATAATGACTTGTATTGTGGATTACATATAACAATTTGAAATTTCGGTTAAGACTTTAGCAAGCATCATGGAACTTGACATGCTTGATTTGCTTTCGCGGGCCACATGAAATGATGTGACGGGCCGGATCTGGCCCCGGGCCTTGAATTTGACACATGTGATTTAGGTGATAATAGGCAGTTTTCCCGACTTGGCTCACATTCCCCTTTGTGTACGGTATGGATGAACTCCAGTCAGTCTCTGGCATCCTCCACAAAGGGGGTTTGCGACATTCAAACAAAACTCTTTTGTAAACAGCTAACGACCTTGGCGGTGGTCACCGTCTACACTCTACTGAGGAGCAGAATTTGCGGTCCAAACCAGTGAGCTGCTAAACTGCATCTTGAGACTTTAGAAATACCACAGTAAAGTTCTACTCCATTCTGTGTGCATATCCC